CCCTGCCCCATTTTCTGGGAGCCATCACCCCCTGCCATCCGTCTCGCTAATTGTCAGGGAGCAGATTCAGTGCCGGGTGGCTCGGGCTGGCCCCGGGTGACACTCGCAGATGGGACGAGGGCCATAAATCTGCCTGGCCCAGCGCTAACTCTGCAGCTCAGTGAGGGTGAGTTGCCCCCCCTAAATCTGCCTGGCTGGGGGCAGCCGGGGACATCGGCTCTGTTAACAAAGTGACAATGAAATCAGGAGCCAGGACGAACCGCTTAGCCTTCCCCATCACCCTCGACCTCCCTGCCACCCCCTCGCCCCCATCTCCCACCCCTCCTCGACGTGACCCCACAAATCCAGGCTCCCTGCTCCCAGGCCCTGCCAAGCCCTCTGCCCACCAGCAAAGGGGGGCACCGAGGGCCTTTGGGGACCGTCCACCCCTCGGTGCGGTGGCGGTAGGAATGGGCAGGGCACCATGCCCCGGGAGGCTGCGTCTGTCCGTCACTCACCCCGACCAGCCCCGCCAGGATTTCAATGGCTCCGGTGCCCACGGTGGCGTAGGGGATGTGGGGCGCCGGGATGCCAGCGCTCTCGAAGATGGTGTTGGTGTAAAACCAGATCTGCTGAGGAGGGGACTTAGCATGAGTGGGGAGGATGGAGCGATGGGGCCGTGATGGCCCTGAGGTGAAATGAGTTATCAGGTCTCAGCTCAGCCTCTGTAGAGCCAGGTCCCAGGGCCGAGGACCCTGCAGGGCTTACGGCATCGATCCCCGAGAGCTGCATGCCAGCGTTCACCACCACCACGGAGAGGGTTTGCCAGCGGACGGAGCGGTCCCGGAGCAGCTGCCAGACGGAGACCGTCTCCACGGAAGAGAGCGACCGCTGCTCCTCCCTCATCTCCTCGATCTCATCCTGCACGTCGGTGGTGTCCAGGAACCAGCGCAGCGCTGCGGGGAGAGCGGGAGTCGCCCACACGAGCCTCCCTGCTGCAGGGCGGACGCTGACAGCTACGAGGGCTGGGGCGCGGGTTCGGCCCCTGACCTGGGGCAGCCTCCCCAGGCGACCTCACTGACCTCCGGGGTTGAGGCGAGGGGGTGCCCCGACACCACGGTGATGGACACTGCGGACAAGGCTACAGAGTAATGAGGTTGGAGAGGCCCTTCCAAACCCAGGGCTGCCTCAGCAGCTTTTCGTAAGGGGCTTAAAGGCCCAAAGGGCTGGGAGATGCACCACGAGGTGGGCTGTCCTTTGCCTGGGGTCAAAGCTGTGTGCAGGAGGACGCTGTGAGGAAGCACTCTGTTTCTGGGAGACCTTGGCCAGCACCCAGCACCCTCTGGGCACCCCTCACCCTTGGTGGCACCATGGACGTTGTTCCTCTCTACCAACAGGTACCGCGGGCTCTCAGGGAAGCAGCGCAGCAGCAGGAGCTGGAGGGAGGCAGGAACGACCACCACAGACAGGAAAAGGGGCCAGTACCTGTCCTGCAAGGAGCCAAAAAGGGATGTGTCAGGGGGGAGCGGGGGACGGACTGCAGAGTGGATCGATGCCAGGCTGGGGGCCAGCACGAGCAGGCTGGGGGGGCATCATGCTCACCTTGCCCAGCAGCTCCGGGAGCCCCAGGACCTGCGCTGAGAAAACCCCCAGGCAGATGAAGATGCTGGGCACAAGGCCAAGGAAACCTCGCAGGCTCTTGGGGGCGATTTCTCCGAGGTACAGGGGCACCACGCTGAGACAGATGCCTGGAGGGACAGGGCAGGAGGCACCGCGATGGAACAGGCGGCTGGAAGAAGGTGCCCAGCTGGACCCCCGGTGCATCCCCTCCCATGGTCAGCACTGTCCATGGGAGGGGACCCCAAAGGAGCCCCCCCCCGGCCACCCCACAGTGGAGAGCCCCTTGCTGTTCCGCCACCATGGAGGGACCATGGTGGGGGTCACCGTGGGGGACCCAAGGTCTTCTCCAGCCCCCTGCAAAAGGGCCGTAGGGGACTAAGCCGTGAGGCCAGGGCCGTGCACAGCCCCGGAGTGGCCGGGGGCCAAAGAGCACCTACCTGAGTGGAGCCCCATGATGGAGCGGCCGAAAATCACCATCTCGGGGGAGCTCAGGTCCCGGCTGAAGCCCATGGAGGCACCGGCCAGGAGGACGAGGAGAGCGCTGCGGCCCAGCGTGCCGTTTCTGGTAGGGTACAAGCAGCAGGACAGCCCCTCCGTGCCCTTCCCATCCCCATCCTCTCCCTTCTTCCCTGTCCCCCCCTCCACCCCTTCCCTGCCGTAGCGCGCCACCAGCACCCCGACCAGTATGGAGCCCAGTAGCCCACCCAGGGCGAAGACGGAGACGGTCAGGGAGTAGAGGAGGGTGAGGGGGCCGGGGGCCAGCCCGTGCCCGTGCCGCCGGGACCACGTGGCGTTGTAGAAAGCCTTAATGGGCTGCGGGGCAGAGAGAGACGCACGGGCACTGAGCGCTTTGGGAGAGGGGCAGCCGGGCCAGGCTGGCCCCACGGGCAGCACACCATGGGTTTACAGCATCCCAGGAGACCTGATCTGGAGATGGGGCAGCTTGTGACTGGTGGCGACTGGGATGTGGCTTCCAAGGATGGGACCAGAGGCTTTCAAGGATGACTTAGAGATGCCCTTGGGCAAAGCGGAAGCAGGAGGGGCAAGAGCAGCTTGTGGGGTGCTCCCCTCACCACCAGGCCTTCTGGCAGGGACCAGTTTTGGGGGGAAACCTGAAGCCAGGACTCCTATGTCCCTCCCATGACCTGTCCTTCTCCCCAGGCCGCTCTCTACAGGGGACTCTGTCCAATCCAGCATTTTGGCTTTGGGCTTTTGGGTAGCGGTGCCTCCACCTTCGCTGGGCCAGGGAGAGATGTGGGTGCTTTCCCCTCCTCCCCACACAGGCTGGCCACCCCTTACCACTGCCGGCGCGTTCACCACAGCCAGGCTGTAGCCGTAGAGCATGGAGGAGCCAAAGGACACCAGGAGAGTGACCGACAGCAGCGGGAAGGTGAGGTGCTGGGAGAGAGGAGATGGAACTGGATCAGCCCATAGAGGGAGAGCAGGGGTCAAGGTCACACATGAAACGAGCTGTGTTCGGTCACTGCCCCTTTTGTAGCGGGGGCGGGGGAATGTCCCAGTGGCAGAGCAAAGCCCTGCTTTGGTGCACAGGCAGTGGCAACCACCGTCCATGGTCCATGGGATTTTATTGCTGCAAACAAGCCTGGGCACCGGCCCTGGGGAGGAGCCAGGGCTC